GATTCCGCTCGATCGCTTCTTCAATATGAGCTGTATTGAAGTTGCGTAAGCCCCGCCGCATGCATTTGGAGATCTGTCTGTTCAGTTGCCTGTATGCTGTCAAATCTGTTGAAGAATGTAGCTTCATCTCCCGTCTAACAGCCATGAGATTAAGAGTGTGATCGGAGAGTGTTTGTGTTCTTCTGCGGCGGGTCTTGCAGAACTTAGCTCCGACCGCATGGATAGTTTCCACGAGCTTGTCATTCTTATCGTCCACTTCATTGCAGTCTTCTAGGCACTGAAAACGGTTTTGTAACTCGAGCTGAAAGGTTTCAGGACTTTGAATTAGAGCACGAGAAGGACGGAGCGTTGACTTCATTAGACGAGACCTCTCCAACTTAACGTTTAGTTTCAGTGTGCCTCTAACCATTCGGTGATCGCTGCCGGTTTTCACCCTCGCGATCACTGAGACATCACTGAACAGTTGTCGTCTGGTCGTCATAATGAAGTCAATCTCATTTTTTGTCGAACCGTCGGGGCTCGAACAGGTCCACTTCCTGTGGGGCCGCTTCTGGAAGAAAGAGTTCATCATATAGAGTCCCTCTTTCTCCGTGAAGTCGGCCAGCTGCTGGACCCTTGGGTTTCGTTGCCCTATTCCAAATTTCCCTACTTTCAGCTCACCGTTCTCTCTTGTACCTAGTTTTGCATTGAAGTCTCCCATTAACACCATATATTGGGTTTTGGAGGAATGCATGGCTCTCCATCCTCATACATTTCCTCCACCTTCTCATCGGGGTGTGCCGAGGTTGGTGCGTAAACCTGTATGGCCTTCAGCGAATACCGTTTTGTGATTCTGAGTATAAGGTACGCAACCCTCGTCGACACACTCTCCAATCTTTACAACGTTGTTAACGAAAGACTTGTGGACGATAAATCCGACACCTCTTTGGGACATATGATCGCCCTCCCGGTAATAGAGCAAGTTGCCGGATTCGAGGATTACCGTTTCCTCTCGCTCTGTTCGAACTTTGGATAATCCTATAATATGCCAGCGTAACTTGTCTATCTCTTCTTCCAGCTCCACAATCTTCTCGTCAGTCCTCAGGGTGCGTGCGTTGTACGTTGCCAGGTCGAGTTGTCTAAGGTGGCAATCAAACCTCCACCGGAGATTCTTAGCACCCCCTGCCCCGCCGTTACCATGGTCGCCACCGTAGCCAGGAATAGCGGGGCCACCGGAGAATGGGGGCCGTCTCTTAGTAACTTTATCCATTTGGGGGGTATTTGCCATAGTTGCCACGCTTGGCGAGCGGGTTGGCAACCGCAGTTTTTTTATTGTATGTTTGCTGTTATCAGGAAGATGTTGCTGCCCATCTCCTGCCTGTTTCCCTTTGTCGCCTTTTACGACACCCACGGGAAGATATGGGGTAGTGGATATTCTTAACCGCCACTACACGGCAGCATTTGGGTACTAAAATAAAAACTGAACATATTAATTAAGCCTGGGTCGTATCGCGTTTTCTGAGAATCGTATCTATATCATATTTTGAATTTGCGTACGCGTTTATATTTTCTACTCCGATACGCTGTTGAAACCAACTTCAAAAAAATGAAGGCCTTTATTCGACGAAAAAATCAACTTAAAAAAAAAGCACTTAGCCACGCCAATTCGATTGGGTATTTAGATTTCGTTTTATAAGTTAACGAAACGACAAACGCAAATGTAATACAGAAACAGACTTGCGCGATTATCCTTTATGCTTCAATCTAGGCTTAGGACTAGCAGAAAAGTTTTGTATGAAATTAAAACATATCCAGCGCATTTTAAAATCGGCATATTTACGATATTTTCTTATGATATTTTGTTATTTCCTAAATAGGTACTTGTCTTTTATAAATTGAAGCGTGAGATCATTTTAATTGAGCTTCTAGATTACCCGTTGTAGATTTATATGATATATATTGACTACAATATTTACACACTGCATCTCCAGAAGCATTGTCTTTTTTGTCAAAATGATTCCATACCTCATTGGATATTCGCGATGTTTTGAAAATCAAAATAGTTCTCGTGTAATCAATTAAAAAGCCTCAACAAAAAATCTTGATAGTCAAAATAAAAAATATTTAAATGTTATATATAGACTTACTCACTTATACTTACTACTACTTACTGATATATCTGACGCATGCCTATAGACTTAATCTAGTACTACTTCAGGCGAAAGTATGTTCATTCAGTTAGGCAGGCCTTATCATTTCAGATTGCCACACTCGCTTAGATCATAAAAAAGTGGTCATGATAATGTTTTATATATCATGATATTGTAAATATGAACCAAGAAAGTTCAAGAAAAAGATTTTTTTAAGTAAACTTAGTAAATTTAAAGTTGAATTTAAATTTGTAAAATATTTTAAATAGCTGTTAATGTACATAGAAAGAGAAATTATGTACATAAAATGAACTATTAAGTACGCCTGATTTGCTCAGCCAGTCCTAAGCCTGGAAAAAGTATGAAGAAACGTTCATTTCAGAAACTGAATTAGTATTTACATCTTAACAGATTATATCATGAAACGAAAATAATTTGGATGCTAACTGTTCTATAACTAGGTATATTGTTATGTTGCCGTTCGGTACATGGAAAATAGGCAGTCATGAATGTAGATAGTTATGATAACGTTAGCCGTTGTATTATAACGATAGCGTTATGCGTTGTATTATACGTTAATTATAAATTACATAGCAACGATCCATCGTTAATTGTGAAGCAGTGTACTATACCAAAATATTTTGTAATTGCCAAAAAAAAGGATAGTTGCTACTAGTGATAAGTCAATTTTTTTATTATTTAAGGTTAGTTTTTATCCAAAAACTGGCGTAATTTTATGGACATATACTACACAAGTCAATAACGTACGCACTCCATTCATAAGACTCCTTTCTTACTCGTCGTATTCTTTCGCTTTAACGAATGCCTACACATTTTAATTCGATAGGTAGGCAGCTTGAAAATATTTTTATGTTGAATAAAACTACTTTTACGGATTTTATCGCGTTTAATTAAATTATTTTATATTCCCGACGTTTCGGTTGCTTTCCAGCAACCATGGTCACGGGGGACAAGTCAGTCCCAATGTGTAGTGTTCACGTAAATATAAGAAATCATTAATACTTTCATGTGATTAATTGCAACTTTCCCTTCATATTTTTACGGGCGAGCGCACAATCTTCCAAGCACATGACTGGCTTATACCAAAGCGACGTGCCGCGTCACGCGTGATCCTTCGAGGATCTTCTTCAAAATAATTCAAGACGTCATCGTAGAAGTTTTGGGAGTATACAGCTCTACCTCGTCCTTGCGCATGCGTCGGCACATAAAAAAGCCGGTGTCCAATAAGCGTTGATAAATACTGGACTTCGTGGAGTGACTCGGTTGTCAATTGTCTGGGTACAATAAATCCGAAAAGCTTCACTCACATTTTTCCCGACCTGAAAAATACGTGCGTAGCATGTGCTTGTATTCTCTGTTAGAGAACTAACAAGCCATCGTGAAAATCAGAACAAAAATGAAATAATTAATTTGCAAACGTTTTGTACACTTTGTAGTACAAATTACAAACTGAACTAAATTAAACATTCTAAAAATAGACAGCCCGAGGCCCGATATGGCCAATCTGCCGGTGAATGAACGATACAGCAAGCGATTTAAGGATGGATCGAATTGGCAAATTTGAATCAGTTGGTGTGACGTATACATAATAAAAAAGTAACTAATTATTATACTTTTTTAAAGATATTTTTTTAAATTTATTTTATTAATTTATTTTAAGATTTTTTTACATAAATGTGATCAATAACAGACACTGTGATCGCTTATTTTTTTGTTATTACAAAATATGGGTGTGTATATAGAATTATTATTACTTGGTACTAAATATTTTATACGTGGTAGAGCCATGCTGCAGCTATATTAGTAGTAGAGTTGTAGCACGATTGGGTCGGCTCAACCGGGGAACGACCACGCTCTCACAGAATATCAGCGTAAAATAGCAGCTTAACACTGCTGTCTTCCGTATGGTGAGTTTAAAGAACCGGATTTTTACTGGAAAAAGAGTCATTCCATCTTAGCCCTCACAGATGACAACGCATCTGCATTTTGATTCTTTATTGAGGATAGATCTAGATGTGTATAAGTCACAGCAATCTCTTACCATCAGGTGGACTGTATGCTCGTTTGTCATCTTCTCCTATAAAAAAAAGAAAAAACGTTAATCTCGGATAAAACAAGACGTGGCTTAAAAGACACGCATCCAAGACAAAATCTTTAGTAAGAACGTTATAGTTTTGCTTTTGCGCAAACCAAAAAATTTTTTAACTGCCCTAACCTCTCCGTTTCATTATACGATTTTCTTCCTAATAACATTCCTCGTCCTGTAAATCTTAAGTCTTTGTTAAATTTAGTTTTCACTCCTTTTGTTCAAACTTTATTAGATTTCATATCCATTAATAACATTAAACTATAGTACCTTTGCCACTTACCTATATCCATATTACTATATTAGCAATAATTTTGTAAAAATATTATAATGTTAATTCATTCGAAAATAACTACATAGGTAAGTTCGTAACATAAAGCAACATAAAGTTAAGTAAGCGCATCTACGGAAACGGAAACTAGTAAATACTCTGTGTGACTCTCATGAAATACTTGACGCTGGCAGAATCCATTGGAAGTTGCCAAATTAGGAAAAAAAAAATATTATAAAATATCTGTGGATGCCACTTTCCTTACCCATATTTATTTATCTATGCTTTACATGCGTAAGCATCCTATTAGTCTGTGCTTTGCACCAAAAAAAAAAAAATACAAATACATATTTCTTGTTTGTAACCAAAGAGAATATAATCACTACGTTTATTTCTAACAGTTTAGGTTTTCAAAAGCGTAGCTGAATTTTGTCAGTAATTGACTGTGTAATTGCAAAAACGTTGATTTAATGAAGTTCAGAAAAGGATAATCATGTCTGAAACATACGGTAAATATTTGGATTTTGTGATACCGTATGCGAATTTTCAGGTGGAAGTAATATTGTTTTCTCATTTTGTTTCAGAATATTTATTTAAGTTTTTAGTAATTGGAAGTGCTGGTACAGGAAAATCGAGCCTACTTAATAATTTTATTGGTAACAAATGTGAGTATCTACATGATATCCAGTATAAAATAAACCATGAAAGTTTAATGTAATGTTATGAGGCTATTACTATTTATGTATAATTTATAATGAAAATGAAATAGTTGCTATAGAAATTGGTATTTCTTTTTAGTCAAAGAAGATAGGTGCCACACTATTGGTGTTGAGTTTGGTTCTAAGATAGTGAATATAGGCGGAAAATCGACAAAGTTACAAATATGGGATACAGCTGGACAGGAGAGGTTCCGCTCAGTTACGCGATCGTATTACAGAGGAGCAGCAGGTGCATTATTGGTGTATGATATAACATCTAGGGACTCTTTTAATGCTCTATCCAATTGGTTAAGAGATGCAAGGTCTTTAGCTAGTCCTAATATAGTGATATTACTGGTTGGTAACAAAAAAGATATAGAAGAATCTCGAGAAGTGACATTCACTGAAGCTAGTCAGTTCGCTCAAGAAAATGGTAAGATTTTTGAAAGCTTATTGTTTTGTTTACTTACATATATTACAGCTTTATATATTTCTATCTGTCAAAATTTCAGAATTGATGTTCCTTGAGAGTAGTGCTAAAACAGGAGAAAATGTTGAAGAGGCATTTTTAAAGTGCTCAAAAACTATTCTTGCAAAAATTGAAACAGGTGAATTAGATCCAGAGAGGATAGGTTCTGGTATTCAATATGGAACTAGCACTGCTAAAAGATTGACTGCACCAAAGAAGCCTGTAAGGGCACCTACAGAATGTGCTTGTCGAGTTTAATGATATTGTTTTATACAATTTACACACCCCTCATTTGTGATATATCTATGCATGGCCAGTGAATCTTGTAACTCACACGTAGTAGGTATTTTTACACACTGAAAAAGTTATGATATCACATGTTGATTGAAGCATTGCTAGCAGTTACAACTGGGGGATGCTGTCAGGGGATGTAGGAGAAATGATAATTGTCGAACCTGTGAGCAGCTTCTACAGTTGGAAATAACTTTTGTCCATGTATATAGGTTTATTTTTCTTTTTAGCATATTTAATGTATAATGAGCTCTTTATCTCTCTAAGATCTTATTTTTGGGTATATTCTACTCAGTTTTATTTAAGGAACAATCTCTATTATTTTTAGGCTGAGTTTTTGTTAGATAAAAGTTTTTCATCAAATAAATTATAAGCTATATGTAAAAGTGAAACAATTATACTATTTTATTCATGCAACTGTTATCTTTAGTTTTGTTTATGTTGTATTTTATCCTATGAATATCTTACAAATGATTGTTTATAATATCCTTTTGCTTTAAACCATGACCTGAACATGTATATCAAAACTTCTAGGTTGTTTAGTTTGTGTTGAATATTATGAAATAAGATTTCATTGTTTTTGATTAGCATATACATCAGTGGTAGTAAATTGAGGTGACATATAAGATATGCACTTCAAGGACTAAGAATTATCTTTGAACTATTTGTTTAAATATGTATAACTATAGAATGCACTAAGTATTAATCTAAGAAAAATTGTAATCTTAATGTTTAGGAAGAGCACATTTTGGTGTTTAGTTTGTGACAATAAAAACTTTTAATTGCTAAAAACTATCAATTATTGAATTTAATCAAACCCAAATATTTGTACTGTTGTGGTTCTTTTAGGCTTTTTGAGTTATTATGGATTAAAGAATACATTTCATACAGATTTATATTACAATTACATTTATAGACTAAAAGTTTTAGTTTTGGGGGGTAATAAGTATAAACTGAGGCATTTCATTTAAGTTTAATTTAGAACTGTCATTAATTTGTAGACATCATTTTGACAATAATTTCTAACACTACGCTTATGATTTTTGCAAGGATACTTTTGGGGATATGGTGGGGGACAGCAATTTTAAAAAATGTTTTTACAACATTGTTTCATAAAATAAAATACAAAATAATAAATTATTTCTTTTAAGTTTGGTTCTCTAAAGTTTTAATATGTACGAAGATAGTTACCCATCCTGGGAATCGAAGGTAGATGAATTATGCCTATTGAGAGAGATGATACCGATATACCATTATCATTCTCTCTCCCAAAGTATGCCACAAAACATACTCCTGTGTGCATCAATCCACTTGCATCTCTTACCAGGTCGTCACTCCATCTAGTGGATGGCTGTCCTGCACTTCACTTACCGATAAAGGTTGACACTTGAGAACCTTTCTTTCTCATCGGTTATCGGTTCTTTGAGCTATATGTTTGTCTTAGTAGATTACTTTAGTTCTACATCTCCATTTACTTCTCCATATCCGCATGCTTATTACGAGCGACCTTGAGCTTCCTCATACAGCAAGCAGTGAAGGACTATGTCTTAGATTCATGTATCATCACTGGAAACAAACACTGGTAATAAAATGTTATCGTAAACAATCAAATCAAGTGTATTGTCCCAATCATAACTATACTTCATGCTAACTATTAATTATTATCTCACTGATACAATTTAAATTCCAACTACTCTAATACTTATATACTAGCTTTGTAGCACTTTATTTAATTTAAGATGCTACATTGAATTTCATATGATGTCATATTACCTATATAATTTAGGGAAGAAACATATATTACTTGTGATAAACTGTCCATCACAACTCCACAGCTGCCTTGCTTAATAGATTGCCTGTTTCATTTGATTGTCAATGCATTTTGTGGAGTGTCGCACTATGGGAAAACCGGGTGTGTTTCAAAATTTCATATTTCAGTTGTTTCAAAATTAATTAAGCTGTAATTTTACATATATATACTTGGATATATAGGGTATTTATTGAAAAAAAAATGATTTAGAATTAAAAATAAATTTTTTAACTCAAAATAAAAATTTGATCACAATAGATATCAAATTTAAGACATAATTTTTTTTGACCACTGGTAAATTATGTCTTGAGAACTGTTTAACATATCTCATTTCGATAAAATACACCATCATCCATGCTATTTTATAAAGAAATAAAAATTTTTGAAAAAATTGATTTTTATCTCTCGATGTTTTCGGTCCGTATCAAAAAAGGAGCAAGTAAGTGCAAATTTTTTTTAATCCCTAAACAGAGTAATGTGTGAAGATCTTAATTCAATAAATACTTCGACATCGGCAAGCATCGGTAAGAGGTAAATCTCCTGTTAAAAAAAGTAAAAATTTACCATCTTAAACTATATGGGTTACTTTTTGTTAAATTAACTAATATAGTATAATATTTACGAAAAATTTGGAGAAGCATATAACCATTTCAAAAATGTGTAATAATTTTGTACTTAACTTTCAAGTAATGTGGCATTGAATCGTAATAACATATTTCGTCAAAATGATCTAATCGAACATTACTGAGATTTGATGTTCTTTTATACTTATGTTAAACCTACAATATGAAATCATCATCATCATCATTACAGCCTTTCATAAGTCCACTGTTGAACATAGGCCTCCCCCAAGGAATGCCACAAAGCACGGTCCTGAGCCACCTGCATTCATCGACTTCTTGCATGCCTTACCAGGTCGTCACTCCATCTCGTCGCCCTACACTTCGCCTACCGGTACGAGGCTGCCACTCGAGAACCTTTCTTCCCCATCGGTTGTCGGTTCTTCGAGCTATATGGCCGGCCCACTGCCACTTCAGCTTACTAATCCGTTGGGCTATGTCGGTTACTCTAGTTCTACTGCGGATATCCTCATTTCTAAGTTTATCACGCAGAGAAACTCCGAGCATAGCCCTCTCCATAGCTCGCTGAGCGACCTTGAGCTTCCTCATACAGCCAGCTGTGAAGGGCCACGTCTCAGTTCCGTAAGTAAGTCAGTTCATCACTGGCAACACGCACTGGTTGTACAATTTCGTTTTAAGGTTTTGAGGTATGTCTGACGAGAAAATGTGTCGTAGCTTCCCGAACGCTGCCCAGCCGAGTTGAATCCGTCGATTGACCTCTCGGTCGAAGTTGGACTTACCTAGTCGGACTATTTGTCCCAGGTAAATATACTCGTCAACAACTTCGAGCTTAGTGTTCCCAACAACTACCAGCATAGGTGTGACATGGACATTAAACATGATCTTTGTTTTGCCCATGTTCATCTTAAGACCTATCCGTTGGGAAACACTATTGAGGTCATTGAGCATAGTGCTTATGTCCTCCAGCGATTCTGCCATAAGGACTATATCGTCGGCAAATCGAAGGTGAGTGATCTACTCGCCATTGATGTTGATACCGTATCCTTTCCAGTTCAGAAGCTTGAAAACGTCTTCCAATGCAGCGGTGAAGAGTTTCGGGGATATGACGTCACCCTGTCTTACACCTCTCTGCAATTGGATAGGTTTCGTACTCTGGTTCTGTATTCGGATAGCCATCGTAGCCCTACTGTACAAGCACTTCAACACTTCGATATACCGACAGTCAACTTGGCACCGCTGAAGGGACTGCAGCACAGCCCAAATTTCGACGGAATCAAAGGCTTTCTCAAAGTCCACATACGCCAGACATAGTGGCAAATTGTACTCTTCGGACTTCTGTACAATTTGCCGAAGGGTATGTATGTGGTCTATGGTGCTAAAGCCCTTTCGGAAACCGGCTTGTTCGGGAGGCTGGAAGTCGTCAAGTCTGCGCGCGAGCCGACAGCCGATTCGTAATGACTCGAAAACAGCACGTAGACGCGGCTCAGAAGGGAAATCGGTCTGTAGTTCTTCAAGAGAGCGTTGTCACCTTTCTTGAAGAACAAGACCACCGCATTTCTGCTCCACGCCTCCGGTGTAATGCCACCATGGAGGACGGAATTAAAGAGCTTCTGAAGGACTTCAAGTACCGGTCTTCCACCCGCTTTCAGAAGCTCCGCTGCATTTCCATCCTCGCCTGGGGCCTTACCGTTTTTAAGGTGCTGGAGAGCCATTCTAATCTCGCTCAGACTGACGTCCGGGATATCTTCGGAATAGTGTCGGATGAGACTCGGTCTTGGATCGTTACTCACACTTGCGTGTGGCTCCAACGATGACGTGTACAGCTGCCCATAGAACCTCTCAATCTCACTCAAAATCTCAGGTGTCCCGGAAACGATGCTGCCACACTGTCTTCAGCTTTGACAGTTGGCTCTTTCTGGCAGACTGATCTCTGGCAAAGACTTTGGAGCCTTGGTTCCGCTCGATCGTTTTTTCAATACGAGCTGTATTGAAGTTGCGTAAGTCCCGCCGCATGCATTTGGAGATCTGTCTGTTCAGATGCCTGTATGCTGTCAAGTCTGTTGAAGAATGTAGCTTCATCTCCCGTCTAACAGCCATGAGATTAAGAGTGTGATCGGAGAGTTTTTGTGTTCTTCTGGGGCGGGTCTTGCAGAACTTAGTTCCGACCGCATGGACAGTTTCCACGTGCTTGTCATTCATATCGTCCACTTCATTGCAGTCTTCTAGGCACTGAAAACGGTTTTGTAACTCGAGCTGAAAGGTTTCGGGACTTTGGAACAGATCACGAGGGGGATTGTTGACTTAATTAGACGAGACCTCTCCAACTTAACGCTTAGGTTCAGTGTGCCTCTAACCATTCGGTGATCGCTACCAGTTTTCACCCTCGCGATCACGGAGACATCACTGAACAGTTGTCATCTGGTCGTCATAATGAAGTCAATCTCATGTTTTGTTGAACCGTCGGGGCTCGACCAGGTCCACTTTCTGTGGGGCCGCTTCTGGAAGAAAGAGTTCATCATAAAGAGTCCCTCTTTCTCCATGAAGTCGGCCAGCTGCTGGCCCCTTGGGTTCCGTTG